CATCAAGCATTCTGGTAACGATGCGCAGTGTCTTTGCAAATTTATTTATAATTCTATAGGGGATGTGTGTGAAAAGTGAGGCATATTTATTCGCAAGTTAATTTTTTTTGCCAATTTACCCTTAACTTAACGTATTGAGTTGAAACACCTGAAAGAAGCCTGAACGCTATCACAAGAAGACTAAGAACATCAATACTTGTAAGTGGCTTGGAAATTTATAACTGGTTTTTTTTGTACCTTAATACATCAAATGGTAAATTTTATATTTTGACAAATTGATACCCGAAAGCGCAAAGAAAGTTGACATTAATTTCGTTGAAGAATGTCTGTATGGAAAAGTGAACAAGGACTGATATTGTTAATAAATTTCAGCTTTTTTGAGTCTGGGGAAAGTGAGGAACGAAGTTAGGGCTTTGGAGTATCAAATTGTTAATTTAATCTCAATTTTAAAACCGTGGAGGTATTAAGTTGTCACAATAGAACTTGCGTATCAAAGTGAAAACAGAGTGAAGCTTTAGGGCAATAATAACCCAGTTTATTGTTCTATAAAGGTTGGATATAAATATATGTATATGATTTACTAAAAGTGACACCAAATAAGAGAGTTTAGGTTTCTTCTTAAAACCCAAGTTATCCTATCTTATTAGTTGTCTTTTCTTTTCTCTATAGTCTTCTATTTCAGTGCAATTTCTTTCTTCATTCTTGTTAATCGTATAATTGCTATTTTCTCATCTAGTTCTGCTTATTTGTTTTTTATGGGGGGAAAATGGTGTTAAATTGCATATCACTAATCCAGATTCGAACATGCAACAGGTAACATCTCGCTTGATGATGTGATTGAGATCGCTAGGGTTATGAGTCCGAGGTCAATGGCAAAGGATCTGAGTGGGACGATTAAGGAGATCTTAGGGACTTGTGTCTCAGTTGGGTGTACGGTTGATGGGAAGGATCCAAAGGATTTGCAGCAGGAGATTAATGAAGGGGTTGTCGAGGTGCCGCTGGAGTGAATTGGGTTGGATCTGTCAGGTTACTTTTGAATTTGAATTAGATTATAAGGGAAACAATTATTATGAATGTTGAACTATTTTTTTTGAAGGTTTTGTAGTTTGAGATTGTTTGATGATTATATTATCTGCTTGAATTATTTTATAATGGGATTTTCTCCAATTTCTTTTTCGTTTATCATGGTTGTTTTTGGTTATTAATTTGTTATCAGCTTGCAACTTATTGTAGGTTACTTTATGACAAATGTGAAATTCAAAGTGAAAACTATATGTTGTATTAGGATCTATAGGGATACACTTAGAGAAATTGATATATGAACTTTACATGTTGTTTTGGAGGTTTGTAATGGGAATAGAATTATAATACCAGTGCAATAAAACGGATACATAGAAATTTTTGTGTTGCGTAACCTTGTGCTATTAATTTGGGGTTTGAAAGAGAATGGAGAAACGTAATTGATTACAAATATGAAACCTCTATTAAGAGGTTCAAGTGAGCGACAAATGCTAACTCAAGGTTTGCGTTAGAGGTCAGGTAGTTTGTAGATAATTAGATTGGGGATATGTGAAAGTTTTATACATAGCTTAGCCTTAGTGGTGCATTTTCTATACAATAATGAATAATCTGCTTGGGTTTAGATTTTGGATTGATTTTTGTATCTCATTTTTTATTCTAGTTCAGGATGACTATAATATTTTCTTTAGGTTTGGGTTAAAAAGAAGCATACAATTTAAGTTCAGTGTAGTAAGGTAGGAATAGTCCTAATGCTTAAGATTTCTAACAAATTTCTGCTTACAAAATGCATCCCAAGGTAGGTTATTTGCTGGGTTTAAAAGGAACTAAACGTTGGAGAGTAAAGATAAAGATGAAATGATAAACTGACAAATGGGAGTACTTTTCCGATGGGCAATTGAAAGTTGGGGAAAAAATAAAATGAGGTGGAAGGACTTAAGGAGCAAGAACTTCGTCACAAATTACCACCTAGTTTCCTTCCTTTCCCCCTCAAAGGGTCTGTCTGAAAGTTGGATATTTCGTGGAAGGGAATGAGATGATATGGAAAGTGGTTGTATCACAAAACAGTCTTAAGAAAAAGGTCTTTATTCAAGTAAAAGAAGAATATGCTTAATAGGAATTTTGGAAATGATTAACAACCAAGGTTTTAAATATCGGTTATCGGGGATTTATCGAATGGTCAAAATCCTTATTGAATAGCGGAAATTGGGGATATATCGGGGATAAGTAGTATTTATTGGAGTGATATACTGGATGGTGTATATATATAATATAATAACGGATATATCGGGGATAAGTAGTATTTATTGGAGTGATATACTGGATGGTGTATATATATAATATAATAACCAAAAAATATAATCTAACCATGCTTAATTGGAGTGATATACTGGATGGTGTATATATATAATATAATAACCAAAAAATATAATCTAACCATGCTTAATGAAATATAAACATACCAAAATATAAATAATCATGTTTAGAATCACTGACCAATTGTAGAAAGCGAAACTTGCATCTTGACCGCACGATGAATCTATTCGATTGCATAGCCTTGAAAAAAATATAATGTTAGTCAAAATGGAATAATAAATAAGCAAATAACAAGATAACATCAAGAATGAAGAACCATCTAGACATCTACATAATTATTATGTAATCATGAGATTCATAAACTAATTTACTAAGTTGATATTTAGTAGTTACGAGCCATATCAATATCCGTAAACAAACATAAGCTAATCACCAGTCAACCAAGTTTCAAAAACAACAAACAGTTCATAATTCGTAAATATTCGAAGAGCAAATCCAAAAGAAAGAAAAAGCAAAGACTAAATTAATCTTCATCGGAGCTGAACGTTGGAATATTATCCATGCCCTCATCCGAATCGCGCTCCGAAGATTCCATGTCTTCCTCATCTTCCAAAGGCTCCTTTCTCTTTGATGAACATTTCCTAGACTTGTCTTTCTTTTATATTGCTTTGTTCTACCACTCTCTCTTTTTAGGATTAGCTCCAATGATATCTCTATATTGCTTCCAAGTTACCATATATATAAGTTTGCTTAAAAATTAGTTTGCTATAAACTAACTGTAGTGAAAAATAATGTAATCAGAATATCAAAGGAAGAGAAGAAATGAAATTGAAGAGAAAAAGTCAAAAAACAACTAAGCAATGAGTAGATACCTGTTCGATGGAGTTCGAAGAGGAGCGGAGCGCCAACGGTGAATGTTGGAGTCAGTGGAGGCGAGCTTCGAGGTCAAGGAGACGAACGACGTCAACAGAGGTGAGCTCCGAGGTCAGGGAGGCAATCGACGTCAGCGGAGTTAAGCTGCGAGGTCGAGGAGGCGATCGTCGTCAGCGGAGTTGAACTTAGAGGTCGGGGAGGCGAACGACGTCGGCGGAGGTGAGCTTTAAGGTTGAGGAGGCGAGCGACGTCAGTAGACGTGAGCTTCGAGGTTGGGGAGGCGAGCGACGAGGTCAACAGAGTTAAGAGGGGAGTAGAGATCTTGAGCTCGATGGAGTTCGAAGAGGTTCAGAGAACAGCCACACATAGAGGGAGAGAGATTCACGAAGGATTATGGCTAAACTTGAAGTTAGAAACTTCATTTTATTGTCAAAAGCGGGTCAGGTCGGGTTTAAGAACACACTAAGTTACAGCCCATTACCCAACAATTCAACTCAAAATTCATGCTGATAAAGCCGATATTTTTAGCCTCCCTTATCGGTCGATAAGTGTCTTTATCGCCGATAACTCGCCGATAAACCCATAAAAACGATAACCGATTTAAAAATCCTACTTATCCTAGCGGAAAGCTCTCAAATCCGATAACTTGGCAATAATATCGGATTATCGGCTGATATTTAAAACCATGTTAACAACAACGTCAATTGAGAAAGACCTAGGTCAACAATAAGCCAGACATAATACATGCTAGACTGAATGAGGAAGGATGTAAGTGGTTTTTCTGAATGATGGGCTTGCCAATGATACCAACATAAATATAGTACATCCCTATTAGATAGTGGTTGTGGTTTAGTTCCATTAGCTGTTTGTTCTTACGAATTTTTTCTCATGTAATTTGTTCTCTGAATTATCAACGTCAATCAGTTGTTGAAGTTTACTTTTTACTGTTTGCATATTTTTCTGTATGCTTGCTAGCTTGCATATACTAGAATACTGTGTTGTACATTTCTTGAGCTTTGTGCTATAAAGATTTCCTAACTATTTTTGTATTTGTGTCCTTGTTGCATGTACTATGTGCGGGCATACGATCAGCAGAATGCGTGTAGTTATTGACCATTTTTCTGTTTCCTTGTAAGATCTCCTATTGGCTTTGAAATGACTTCAAAAGCTAATCATTAATTCAACAATGACATTGTAGGACTGATATTTCTTCCTGGCTAAGTTGCACCATTTGTCATTATTTTTTTATTATGAGGATTTCATGTGTAAAAATTTGGTAGTGAAAGTTATAGTGTTAAGAAGCCAGCATGATTTGACTAACTTTTCTTTAGAGAAAAGGCTATATAACCTAAGAATAATGAAGTGGCTCTGCTTGAATTGAAAAAATGTCTGTCTTTCTAGTCCTTTTATTTACTTTTTGCTTGTGTTTCTTGTGTTTGCCCTTCCATGTTCTTAGAAACAAAAACATGGGCTGTGTTCACGTCGATACCTCTTTGTTCATTCCAATTCTTTCATTCTTATCCCTAAAAAATGGTCTCATGCTTAAATATTGAACACAAGCAAGCCAGTTTTATCCCCATCTTTCATGAACTGTCACTGCTGTCATTCCACAGACAATTGTTGCAGTGAATTAACCATGTGTTGCTCAGTCTTCATCATCGTACCGAATTCTGGTTCTTACAAACACTATAAGGCGAGCCAAGCCATATTCACTGTTTTAAAAAACCTCTGCCTAGTTCGCTTAGGCGTACGCCTAGGCTTAGGCGGTACCTAGGCCGCCTAACTAGCGCCTAACGCCTAGACGGTATTTGGGCTGTCCATCTAGATTTTACGAGCGTTTAGGGGAGTATTGTTTGCTTATGTGGATTGCATCTTGTAGGCATTGGTTGTGATTTTATGTGTTGTAGCCTACACGTTCTCCAAACTCCATTAACCTCCAAATATGAACACCTCCACTACCTCCTCCGATCTTTAGCAAAACCTCACCGACCACCATTTAAATGAAGGAAAAAAATTCGCCTAGATACCAGTCCGACATCTAAGCTTTCTATAACGTTGACATTCACTATCAATTATTGTAATTAAAAATAAAAAAGAAAAATATCCTAAGCTCTAGCCTTGTTAATTATTATTTTAGCTATTTACTATCTAAGTATGCATGATTTTTTGTAGAACTAAGATTGCTATTTTAAAAAAAAACTTTATATGAATTTAATACATATTTTTATCAATTATTATAATTAAATAATTTAAAAATAGTCAAAAGCCTAGTCGTTGCCTAGGCGTATGCCCAAGGGTCTAGGCGCTAGTCGCTCGCTCAAACGCCTAGTCTGCCTAGCGTCTTCTGTAACATTATCGAGCTCCCCTGATCTCTGTAACTACTAACAAGGTAAAAAGTACTTCTTAAATATCTATTTAAGTTAGTTAACAACAGTAACTTAAACTTAAGAAGGGTAAGTTAACAGTTAACTTAAGTTTAAGTTTAAGTTAATATTAAGTTTTTTGTTGATGGTAAACTTAAGTTTAAGTAAACAGTAAACTTAAGTTAACAATATTTTAGTTTACAGTAAACTTAAGTTTAAGTTTATCGTTAAACTTAAACTTAACACTAACTTATAAGTTAACAGTAATTTGAGTTGAGAATGAGTTTTTCACTGTTGAGATGAACTTATAATTTGATTTGAGAAGTATAAACATACAAAGAGCTATTGTAATTGGTAAACCAAACAATTTAGTTAATAGTGTTGGTATTTTAGTATTTATGCATTTTTAATTGAGTATATATATATTTATCTTCAAGTATCATAATTAAAAAAAATAAAAAAGAAAGAAAAAACGCCCAGAAACCACTTAGGCGCCCGCCTAGACGACTAAGCACTGGGCGTCAAGTCTGACGCCTAGAAGCGCCCAACGTTTAATGTAACATTGGCTATATTTATCGATCAATCAGTGACATGATGCTTGCTAATTGGGCACATTGTTGATGAGTTTGGCAAGTGGAAAGAGGAATTGTCCTTTCTTCTTAAACTTTCATCATCTTGTCCAGGTGCAAGTGGAGTTTAAGAAATTAGAAATGTGATAACAGGATGATGCTAAAGAACGTAACAACAATGTCAACAATACAGATTCTTTAGGGATAACTTGTGTATATTATAGACACAATTGGGCTGGACCTATAAAGAACTTGGTGTGGTGGGAGATTGCAGCTTATGAAATCATGAGGTTTTTATATGCTGGGGGATTTCATAAAGGCTTTGCAGACTTAAGGTCCACACTGAAAAATATTTTATTCTGGTGGCCCATATAAGCATTGAGAACATAATATTATCTAGCCCAAGTCTCAACTCCTTTACCCGTGTATCTTGCTTACCTTAATCTCACATTCCTCTTAGTTTTGTACTAAGGTTGACATTTCTCTTGCATGTGGACCCTAACCCAGAATTTTGGCTCGGGTTTGGTTTAATCCTCTACGTCAATTCAGTCTGTTATCCTTGAGAGAGAATGTCAAATATAGTATTTTCGGATGAGAATTGTGCCAAGTGCGTCCCTTTAAATTTGTAATAACTCATTTTCTAGGTCATGGTTAAACTCGTTTAATTTTTTTTTGCCATTTCATGATTAAACATGTTCTATCATTTTAGTGTATTTTGAAATTCGTGCTTAAATTGATATCTTATCCATGTGTATTATGCTGTTTTTAATTTCTTTTTTCATTGGACCACATACATCTGATTTATCATCAATCATTTATATAACCTTCATTTTTTTCGTCTTTAGGTTATCGACATTTGTAGCATCTAGTGTAAAATCTAGTTTGTTGGTATGTACAGAGTGCCTACCATATACATATCTTTTGAAGAACTTTTCCCTAGATGTTCTTTATCACCATCTTTTGTTTGATGTTGGGCTGCTTCACAGTTACGAACATCATGTTGGCACCAAAGGAAAAAGTTCTAGTCAGTACTTTTCTTGATTAGTTTTTACTTTTTTATTGGTTAATAGTGACTTCATATCAGCTATCATAGCGTTTCCCCATACTGGCAGTCTTTGACATTCCTTAGCGCTATTTGAGAGTATTGCGTGTTTGTAAACCTGCATGTTCATTGGATAATTTTTACTCTATTGTCTCTCCGTTGAGGTATTAAATTTTGTAAACCTGAGTGTTCACTTGTTTCTTTACATGTATATGCAAAATACCATCTGGACCAAAGATATTGTTTTGTTGTTTTTTATTCCATTAACTATATACACTTTCTTTTAGATATATGGTTTGAGTTGTGTATTATGCACATAAGTCTTATCTGCACGTGCGTGTTTGGTTGGATGACATCGATGATGCTTTCTCATAATTAGCTGCTGTGGCCCTGTTCTTCAGAGCCACATCTTCTTCTCTCTGATCTGGATGAAAAGACTATTCTTCCATTATGCCAACTTTTTTTCGTCCAGGTTGTCCATGTTTCAGAATCTTGTTGTTGCACATCATTAGCTTGCCGTGGAAGTGGACATGACAGTTCTGTTAGAATCTAGTCCTTTTAGCTATTAAGATGATATCGCGTGCTGTTTTCTTTTGAATTTAGCTGAATGAACTCAGAGAACAAAAAGATATTGGATTCCGTTTTGTGATGTTTATGGGCATTTTTGGTTGTCCAAGATTCTTGCCAAATGTGAAAGGATATAATTTTGTATGATGGAAAATAATTCCTGTTAATTTTCATGCTTGTTCTCATTTACTAAACTGATATTCTGTTGATATGTCTTATGCTTTGGCCTCACGTTTTTCTGGTTCTTCTTGTCATTTTTGATGTGGCTTGCTGCTTTCCGAATGATTGTGGTTTACAAAAGCATTACTTGCACATAGAGTCTCCGAACTGTCGATTTTAACTTACTATCACGGTAGTTCACTTGTTGTAAGATAGATCCCTTTGGTTAAACGTTTTTTTTAAAGCTGAATAAACACAGGAACAAAAAATTATCAAATTCAGTTTTAATGTTTATACGCTTTTTGGTTATATTGAGATTATTGCCGGATGCTGAAGGATATTTTTTGTATGATGGAAACTGGTTCCTGTTAATTTTCATCTTGTGGTTGCTTGCATTAGTAAAGCTGATATTGTGCTGGAGAGTGCTTGTGCTTTGGTCTCACCTTTTTTCGGTGCTCATTGTCATTTGATATAGCTTGCTGCTTTGTCGAATGATTGTAGCTTATATGTAAGGGTTAATTGCATATACTCTCTGTGTCATCGTTTGTAACTTACTACCCCTGTAGTGTACATTGTTGCAGATGTGCCCCTTGGGTTAAACTTGTGACTGTTTTACCCTTGGACTTACCAATTTCTAGCTGAAGTCAAACAAAAGGATATTGGATTCGGTTTGATGTTATTTGGGCCTTTTCTGTTCTCTGTGTTTATTGCCAGATGTAGAAGGAATTGTTTTTGTATGTTGACAAATGATTCCTGTGAAGTTTCATGCTGACAAATGATTCCTGTGAAGTTTCTTACTTTTGGTGTTTGTATTGGTGAGTTGATATATTGTACTGAAGGTGGTTGTGCTTTGGTCTCACCTTTTTTGTTTCTCATTGTCACTTGTTATGTTGTTTGCTTCTATGGTGAGTGAATGATTGTGACTTATAGTATACTCTAATATATTGGCATCTGATGGTTTGTGGTTTGGTTTATTTGCTCATTTATTGGATGTCTTTGTGAAAGATACTAGTCGAGAGTATATCAAAGTGATGTCTAAGTACGTTAACGGAAAAATTGAATGATATGATGGAAATAATGGAATCATGTAGGAAATTGTACCACTGAGCTTGGTGACTGAAGGTTAGGCTCAGTTGGCCACCACAGTGTTTCTTTATTTTCTTTAGGGCGCATTTTCACATGCATGTCTTTGTCCCTGACACTTGTTCTCATGCTGGAACTGGACCTCTTTTTTTTTCACAAAGTGCTGAAGATACGTGATGCTTGAATGAGTATGTTGGCCATTAATCTGTGTTCTATTCCTGTTTGCGTGTGTGTCTATCTACTATTTATTTATGTTGGTAATGTGTATATATTTGTTCGGTATCAATCATCAAATTTGGTGCTCATTAGTGAGATGGTTACCTCTCATCTATTCATTCGAAGAGTGAGTGAACAAGTGATGACTATTTTCAAGTAGACATCTTTAAATGTATGGATGAGAATCTTTAAATGTATGGATGACAATGAGCCATCTCGCTACCCAGCACCAAATTTGTATTTGGTACTAAGCAAACTCATTTTCCTCATATATGTATTATATCATATTGCTGTGATGTTTGGTCTCAATAAAGAGTGTTTGCATTATCATAACTTAGCTACGTGAATGTGCAACATTAATTTGTTTATTTATGTTAATTTTACACGAAATCATGTCCCGTTATGGATTTGGGACCTTTTGCAAACTAACTATTTAGTTTTATTTTCGATCCAGGTCTTTATTGGCGTAACGGTACCAATGATTATTTGAACAATCGAAAACACATTATGCCAACTAACCATTGTTCTAAAAAGAGCCTGAGTTGTTATGCGGACTGTAAAGGTTAGGTCATGGTCTGATTTCCTTTGCTGCTGCCTCTACATCCTCTTAACTTCCATGGCCTCCTCTGTTGAATTATAACACCTCCTCTGATCTTCAGCAAAATCTTCTCCGACTTTATTTAAAGAAACAAATGAGATTGCCCAAGTCCTGCCTAGGCGCTAGGTGATAGACACATAGTGGCACCTGACGCTTTTTGTAACATTGCTAATAACTCGGGTAACTATAGACTTAACGCTAAACTCCAACATCAAGTGAGAAACCGACTGATCTTTCTTGTTTGGGTCGATACAACTTTATTTTCGAATTTAAGAAGTTCCATGGTCTATAAATGTGATAAAAGAACAAAGAAAAGAGTTCAAACTCAAAATGTTTCTATTCTCTTGAAAGAGAGAAGAGCAAAGAAATGAGAATCTTTCTTTTCTTGTCTTGTCTCATTAAGATTACGTTCTATTAATAAGTGTCACAACTTATTACCCAGAATGGCAATTAAGCTACAAAAACAATAAATTTGAGCCTGAAGTCCAAATAAAACGCGAGCACAAAACAAATTTGCAACGATGAAGATGATTGGGCGTAGCCGACCATGTTGTTTTTTTTTTTGCCATGGCTTATAATTTGTTATTAGCGATTAAAACTCTGAGTAGGTGTCCTTGAATTATTGATTTCGAAGTTAAATGTTTGATCAAGATTCGTGGTGGAGATTGCATCACGATGATAGTGATTATCTCGGTGGTTGACGTTGAGAATTTACAAACATGTAAAATTTTTATGAAGGTAACTTCAAATTTACCAACGAAGGTGCTAATAAGGTAATTTTTTTTATCTCTTTTTAGTAATAGTGACGTATAACTTGAGATTATGATGATAGCTTCAATTACATGTTTTGCTATACAAGTTTTGCTATGAATTTGATGTCAACTCTTATTTTAGGAAAATCAATAGAAGATGCTTTAGCTGCTGTAGTTGGAGCTGCACACAGTTTTATTTCTAGTTTGTGGACTTGAACTAAGAGACTGTTTGGTTTGATACGATTTACGATAACATATTTTGCAGCTAATTGCGCTTTACTTACGTTAATTAGAGTGGAAATTAATATTGTTTCCTTCACATAATTCGCATTGCGACTAGAACTACGATCAATGGAAACAAAACGTATGCCTCATCCATTGCGGTTCGTGTTGCATCTATCCGTGTACTACGATTCAGAACATTCCACTCGCATATAGGCGCTTCAATACGATACGTATATCATGACGTACATATTCTACAACATTCAGAAGCTAAAATTTTCTTTTAAAAACAAGGACGTCAAGAAACTTCTCAAAAATATAACTAGGTCTTTAATTAGCTAGCCTGGTCATCGACACGCTATCTTTTACATTCTCTAAAATCAAGTTGCGTTATCTTCTTCCAAAGGAAAGTTCACTGCTGAAGAAATTGATCAATATATTCCTTCATCATCAGTTACCAACCCACTTGCCTCTGTCTCTTGCTTCAGCTTCCAAACAACTCCTCTCTCAGGGGAAAAAAAAAAGGTACAAATTAAGACAGAGACGCTTCCACTCCTACAACGCAAAATCACTACCACAAAGAATCCTAAGACTTCCACAACAACGACTTAAAAGCACAAGCAAAAAGGATCCCAAGCCTTCCACAATCAACCCTGATCGAGCTCGTCCAGCCCTCGTTAGCTCCTTTTTGTCTCTTCACGCGTGACCCATGTGGTCCTTTTTCGTAAATTTGCCACGGACGGTGCCACTCTTGTCTCTTGTTCTGTGCTCGTTGTGTTTGTTGTAAAGTTGCTTCAAGAATTTTTCAAGTGGAAATTTGAGGGCATGATGAAAGAGAGACGTAAAGGTTAATTTGTGCGCGTAGAAGGCATCTTATCTCTTAAGTTGTGGGCCAGGATTTGGTTGAAATATTCATGTTTGTGTGGAGGAAGAAGAATGTAAAATCCTGTTATATATACGAGAGTAGTGTAATTTTGAGCCACAAATAAAACAATCTAACCCTCTATTTTTTCCGTGAATGGTTCAGGATATTTTCTGCTGAATTTTTGTGATCGAAAAGAGATTAGGTGGTGATGCATGCCGTTAATTTTTGTAAATAACACACCCATTTTGGAATGAAAAGTGAATCGGGGGTGTATTGTAATTTATCACGAAGGATTAGGTTTGCCACAATCCATGTATTGTTTGTGCCAAAAGGCTTTATTATAATTTTTATAATATTAGAGCATTTTAATAAATTTTTTTTTTCCCACTAAAGGCTAGTGTTAAATCCACGTAGTGGTCGGTGGATCCTCTTCAGTCTTGCACGCCAGTTGGCCGTTGATTGATTTTAAGGCATGTCTGCTGACTACAACGGGAATGTGCAGGGCTTTTTAGACTCGTAATAAAACAAATTGGCACGTGAAACAAATAAGGACACAGAAGGCAAGATCGAAATTTATAAGAATTCCCGAGTTGTCTCCTTATCTTTCTTGTGAACTGACTCAGAGCACCCAATTAATTTGTATGCGGATTTTATAACAAGTTTTTACCCGACATTCGCTTGTTATTTAGTGAACAATTGGCGATTCGTTAGAAATTTAAATACCTACAATATTCTTGTATGAATCATGTCCGTTCTTAGTTTTTCACTTAAGACTAATCATAAACGTCAACGATGAACAATTATGATTAAAAATAGTGATTTCTTCATTATCCTTTTAATAGCGAAGAATATCCAAATCCAATTTTCGGTGCCTCTATTTCCTACTATTTATTTTCGCAACTTTAGTTAAATTTAAGAAATTAAGGGGAACAAAAAGACCACGGATCGATTTGTCCGATTCAACCCTAGCCAATGGCTATGATGGTAGCTATGAACCAAATGTTGCTAGACGCTCGATCACTACCAGATAAACCGAATCTAATATCTAAGGCAATTGATAGGTACCAGAAATATCTGTCTATTTACTTTTTTAATTGCCCTTTTTTATATTTATGGTCATGCATCTTTTAATTTGGGCATATAGAACCTTACGCAAATTTTTGCTCCTGTGTTAATGGAGAGATGTATAAATAGTGCACAAGCTACAAATTTCAACGAGCCAAGGGGTCTGATTGAAAAAAAATATTATTTTCTTTGATGCAAACGTAACAAAGTACA